GCTGTTTGATAAACTGCTCATACAGTCTCTGTTACTGGCTGATTGTGCACTATGGAGTGATCCTTCATGTCATCTGTTCTCTCTCTGCTCAGCTGGTTGCATGTGTGAGAGGGGAGCAGCCCCTCCCTCCTCTAAACAGAGACTGATAGAAAAAATAAAGTGGGAAAAAAAAAAGCAAGACAGTCCCTGTTAAACCAGGAGGTTATGCAGGGCGAAGTACTGGGCTTACCGCTTGTTAGGTTCCGATAGTGGAAATGCAGCAATAGTCGTCCTATGTCTGACAAATACAATGTCAAAAATATATCAGATCAACCTTTTTACCTCTTGCTAAAAATATTTACAAAAAACAGCTTCAAGGAGTTTAACATTGAAATTGTGACTGAGATAAAATAAAAATGGCTCACAATAACTTGTAGTGACAAATACTCCCAGTGTTGTACAACTATACAGATGCACTTGTCTGTGCATGCTTTTTTGAATGAAAAATAAGACTTTCATAAAACCCTAAGTTACAATTTCAAGTTCAGCTAGACATAAAGATGAAACATGCAAGAGACAGTCAATCTGGAACAATTAACAGTTTGCTTTTTTGTTAAATTTGCATTGTGACCACATGGTAATGCTAAACTGTGAGCAGTAACTGCTTGGAAAACACTTTGTCACAGCACTGAAAGAAACTTGGACATCTGAAATCTGAGAGTCTCATGCAACGGTTTGTGACTGTGATGCTATAAAGCAGCCAAATCTTGAATATTCTTTGTCATTGCTGAATACTTCATCTCTTCAATTTAAAAACAATATAATAATCATCATTTTTTTTGCAAGTGTGAAAATTTTACCTTAACCCATAAAATAGTTACATGATGTTACAGCTGCAGGTGTACAGGCATGAAACTTGCAACCAGAGGGGACATTAAAACACTGCTTTTCAGTCTGGTATTAAATTCCTTTAAACTTGCATTAGCTAAAATTTTACAGATATATCAAGTTATAATGGCACAGGACGTAGTATCTTGTAGAGAGTGAGAAGGGTAACTTGTGAATCAACTAAGGCTATATATCATCAGATCAATGACTTCAGTCTTTGGCACTGAAAAATAAAGCCTGGCACAGAAATAAAAACCATAACTGAGAAAAACAAAACTTTGGCACTGAAGCATTTGCACTAACAAAAATGACCAGTGACCTTAAAAATGTATTAATACTGGAAAAATGACATTTTTCTGATTTTTTTGTTAACATAAGTCTTGTTTAATGCCAAAGTTCTTTTTTTCAGTGACAGTCTTGTGATCTTTGGTCAATGTCAGTGTTTTTCAATGCCAAAGTTTTTTTTTGGCATGTAGGGGAGGATTTTGAGGGGCAGGACTAAGGACAGTGTGATTTGCATACTCTGGTTGAGATCCATGAGGAGAGGACAGCCCTCTCCCCTGAGCTGCTGTCTGCATCCAGGCTTCTGTCTGCTGAGCATACTGTTGTTGAACTTGGGGAAGCCATACAACGCTGAAGTTGGCTTTTGTTTCGACAGTTAGTTTTGTTTTCAATGCCAAGCTTTATTTTTCAGTGCCAAAGTCTAAAGTCATTAATCCGGCACCATAAGGCTACAGCAGCTCAATACTGGATGATGCATTTTGTACAGTTTGTTGCAATCAGGTCTTCATAGTTTACATCGTTGCAAGGAAACAGGACATGATGGGAGAGGAAAAGAGTGGTTAGGACCAGCTTATGGTGTCAGTTTGTTTTGACTACACTAAACCCACTACTTTTTGCAAAGGAGCTTTAACTCAGAGTTCACTTACTGGCTTTTTACCAAACCTTTTTTGACCACCCCATCATCAATCTGGTGATGGGTTGAAAGCTTTGTAAAAAGCTAGTAATCCGCCCTTGACTTAATATTATTTTAAACACAGTCAACACTTCTCTGAGTTATGCATTCAAATGTAACCTGAACCTTGTTTTCCCATAATGGATGATCAGTTATATCCAATATCAATAGCTTCAGTATTGTGGTACTTTTTGTTTTATCTGTTACAGAGACGTAATTTGCCAGAGCACTTGATACTCTAATAATGACATACATGTATAGATCAATTTATCCATGAACTAACAACTTTGCCTATTTTCTGCCATGGTACACACCAGCCCAAAGAGTAAACAAAGAGATATTAAAGGAGTGGTAAGGTGATGGAGAAAATAATTGTTTGATGGGATTGATAATAATGGGGAAACAGGCTTCAGGTGGAAGTCTGTGTTTTAATGTAAAACACACTTTTAGGAAGTGAAACATTGAAAACACAGTCATAACCAGCTTGGCTCCCATTAGTGGAAGCAATGTCCACCTTGGGGTCATGTCCATGGTGAATGACGTGAATTTCTGAAAGCTAAGAAACTGTGGCTTAGATGAATAACCACATTCTCCTTTCACACAAACTCACACCGTCTAGAGGCAAGTCTGAATGAAGCTGAACATGTGTCTGATGTGGGTCAGAGTCTGTCTGTGCCTCAGTATTCCACAGTCACTGCTTTGGTCTTGAGGTATTCCATGAGAGCATCCTCTCCTGCGGACCAAACAGAGTACAAACCTGTGTCAGTCAGATAATCATGGGTAAAGCTTGTTGGCCTGCTGACCCTGTGTCCAAATCTATTCAAGAGCAGCTGATAACAGTCATCCAACTCCGTTTCTCTACTCACCAAGGTCTTTGCCGAAGCCAGATTGCTTGAAGCCTCCAAACGGTGAAGCCACATCTGTTTTATTGTAGGTGTTGACGAATACTGTTCCAGCCTCTAGCCGCTCGCTTACGTACATAGCCTTGGTGATGTCGCGAGTGAACACACCCGAGGCTAGGCCATACTCTGTGTCATTGGCTCTCTGCAGCACGCCTTCCACGTCGCTGTGGTTTGGACAGGAGATATTGGTTAGTGGCTTAAATTGTGTGACAGCACTGCAGCAAGATGCTCTTTTTAGTGATGACCAAACAAGGATTTCCTGAACAAATGAGAGATTTTGCAGTTCATTGTATTGCCAAAAGATTCATTACTTAAGTTCACTAGTTACACCTACTGCTAAAGGCCAAGAAGTGCAGCGAAATCACAATCAATTATATTGCTGACATAATGAAATATTACTGACATGTTGCAGAAATTGAAAGTTCTTTTTGTACCAAAAGAGGAATGGGGAAACTATATTGACTTTTATTTACAAACAAAAGGTTCTCCATCTATTTATCCATGCATTTTCTTATGCTTATCCAAGATTGGATCACAGGGGCAGTAGGTCCAGCAGAGAGGGTTTCTATGGCTATGCCATATACCATTTACCTAATAGGGAGATAGAGCAACATATTCCTGCAGGAAAGTGAGAACTCAGTACACAAGCCTTTATACAAAGCTTCAGCAGAAACTGCTGCAAATACTTGGACTGTGCTTCGGAGTTTCTGTGTAGCTCTTTTCATGACTCACCCATCTTTGAATTTTGACACCACCATGACGGGGCCAAAGGACTCCTCTTTGGCAATGAACATGTGGTCCTCCACATCAGTGAACACAGTAGGCTCCATGAAATAACCTGAAGGACAATGGGCATTACAGGTGATTAGCTGATGCTAACAACAACTAAAAATTTGTGAATTGCACTTTCTGCTCTGCTGCTAGCGAGTGTTTTTATTGGCCACACTGTCCAAAATATTAGTGTTTCTTATGCCACCATTATTACAGTGGTAATAGTTTTGTCTTTTTAAAATTGAATTTCTTTTCAATAAAGTTTTATTATTCTGACTAAATGATGCTATTAAGAAGAAAGGGTGTGTTCTACCTGGCCTGTCTACCTGTCTGCCTCCATACACCAGTGTGGCCCCCTCCTTGACTCCAATGGCGCAGTACTCCAGCAGCTTGTCCAGGTGGGCTTTGTGGTTTTGTGGGCCATGGTCCGTGGAGCGATCCAGAGGGTCTCCGATCTTCATCTTCTTGATCTCCTCCACCTTAGAGTGAAAGGAATGAGAAATAACTGTTCTGCTCAAACTGATGCCATTAAACTGCATTATGGGGAGTGATTTTGTTGCTTAAACCACACTAGAGAATACAGACTTAGAATATCTTGCCCACTTTAATGTGTCTCTCATGAGGCCCCCAGGTGCATGGAAATGCCCTCAAATGTACAGTGTGTATTTTATTATTCCTAGAGGAGGGTGGTGTCAGTGTGGTGGCTCACTCACCACTCGGCTGATGAACTCATCATGTATAGACTCCTCCACAAAAAGACGGCCAGCAGCAATGCAGTTCTCACCTTTGTTGAAATACACAGAGCTCATGCCCTGTGGAGCAACACACACAGAATTATCAACATGGTATCCGAGTCACAGTTTCAGGAGCTCGCAAAAAAACTTTAAGAACATATGCTACATGTAATCACAAATCTCAGTTTTTGTTCTGTTAGTTACTTGTATCTTTGCTTGGAATCCTTGAGGATATGGCACCACAACCTCCAGTCTCATTAGAGACTAAGATGCACAAATGGGGACAGATGTAGTAACTGAGGGGCTGGAACCAGAGAAGATTTGGCATTTTGGTTTGAAATATGACTGAATCAGTTGTTGTAGTTATTGTAAATAAATGGTTTATGATAAATGAATATGATGAATAAACACTAATAATGGACTAATAAACTGATCAACCAATAGTTTGATATCTTGATGGCAAGGGAGAGCAGACGTTTACTGCTCCTGTCTGTTCTACAATTTTTCACATCTTCTACATTTTCAAGTCTTTGAACAAATTCTACAACTATTAAAATGCCTCCAAGAGGGAAAAGAGCTAATAAATCAGAAGCAAACGAGGATGTTGAAGCAGAAGAGGATTATATTTCAGCGGCGCAAGTAACAGAGATGTTGAGTCAGCAGAAGCAGATGTACAC